CTTAACCCTATCATGCAGGGCTTACCCTATTCCAGGGGTCCATACCAACACTCTAAGATGGAGGTTGAACGATCTGCGAGGCAAGGAGTACTACAAGAAGGTAAACCGTTCCGAGTGGGCGGCACCAACTTTCATCATTCCCAAGAAAACGGATCTGTACGATTCATCTCTGATTTCCGGGAACTGTAACAAAAGGATTAAGCGGAAGCCTTATCCATCCCAAAAATACAGGACAAGCTCTTGAATCTAGACGGATTCAAATACGCTACTAGTCTAGACCTGAACATGGGAACTACTATCACATCGAGCTGTCACCTCACTCGAAGCAACTCTGTACCATCGTACTCCCGTGGGAAAGACGAGTACCAGAGGTTGCCAATGGGCCTATTAATAGTCCCGACATCTCCAAGAAAGATGGGAACATATGCACGACTAAATACGTCCGTGCATACATTGATGATCTACTCATCCTAACTAACGGCATTAGCTAGATCACGTTGAAAGTTGGATGAAGTTCTCGCGAAGCTTCGAAGAGGGCCGGACTAGCAAGATCAATGCCCAAGTCCTTCTTCGGAAGAGGGAGAATTGAGATACCTAGGTTACTGGATTACTCGAGAAGGGATCCACCCTATAACCAAGAAAATCGCTCCTCCTCCCAAACGGAAGGAACTCCGTAGATTCATTGGACTAGGTAACTACTATCGAGACATCTGGATTAGACGATCACATGTATTGGCCCCACTCGCTTCGTTGACTTCCAAAACAACGAAGTGGAATGGGAAGCCGAACACGACAAGGCCTTTACCAGAGGAAGAAGTCATCAGCAAAGAACCCTTGCTCGCCTACCCTTACTTAAACGATACATTCTTATTCCACACGGATGCGAGTGAAACTCAACTAGGTGCGGTAATTCCCAGAAGGGAAAACCTTACGCGTTTTACAGCAGGAAGCTCAACCTGCTCAGACACGTTACACAGTTACCGAGAAGGAACTCCTAAGTATCGTAGAAACTCTAAAAGAGTTCCGTAACATTCTTCTAGGACAGAGAATCGTTCCTGTACATACGGACCACAAGATTCTTACATGTAAGAATTTCAATACCGATCGCGTGATGCGATGGCGCCTTAATTCTGGAAGAATACGGCCTCGAACTACGGTACATCAATGGCGAACAGAACATCGTCGCCCATGCGTTGTCGAGACTTAACATCTCCGACAACGACGGTCCTTCAGAACAGATGGACGCAGCGAGATCGCTGAGCTTATGGCTGCAGACGAAGAGGACTTCCCTATTGAGTTCCCTCTCTCGTTTCCCCGAGAACGAACATTCGTCAGAAAGACGACAAACGATATCAAGAAAGCTCCTCAGGGACAAGCCAAACGACTACAAGAAAGCAATCTTTACCCAGAGGGGATAAGTACAACGACTTAGTAGTTAAGGACGAGAAAAACATCGTACCTAAAACATTGCAGAAGAAGCTAGTTGAATGGTACCATGGTGTGCTTATGCATCCTGGCGAAACTCGCACGGAACTAACCATCAGCCAACACTACACCTGGAAAGGGTTGCGCAGGACTGTGCAGGCCGTTTGTCAGCGTTGCCAAAGCTGCAGATGAACAAACCCAAAACGCCGTAAGGTGGGATTGATGCCTCCAAGACTTGCGAGGAGATCCTTGGGAAAGACTATGTATTGACCTGATAGGGCCTTACAACGTCGGGGATGCCAAGAAAAAGAACTCCTGCACACTTCATTTCCTGACAATGATCGATCCCGTAAACGGATGGTTCGAGATTGCAGAGATCTGCTCCAAGGCAGCAGACGAAGTACCCATCGTCCTAGAACAAACATGGCTTACCCGGTATCCATGGCCGTGCTGAGGTTGCTGGGAATTAGAGCGTGAGTTCCGCGCAGAGGTCGAAAGACACTCCGGGATGAATATGGACTTAGCCGCAAGTTCATCACCACGCGTTACCCTCAAGCCACTCTATGGTCGAGCGTGTCCATCAAACCATACGTAACTTGATCGCTGTTCAAAACATTAAGTGCCAAGACGACCTCGTGAATGGATCCTGGGATTGAGTCCTCACGGCGGTTCGGTTTGCAATGAATGCCACGATTCATACACCCTTGCGTGCAACGCCCGCACAGCTCGTGTTCAATCGTGCAGCGATTCACAACGTCCGGTTGAAGCCAACTGGAAATACATAAAGAACCGTTGCCAACGACTTATCCAACAATTCTCTCTTTGTCAGCTTGTTCGTTTTTCGCATCAAGAATCTTCTTGAAACGATCTGCACTGTCATCAACAGCGGTAGGATCAGAAATGAAAAAGTATTCTTCTTCATTGGTATCGCTATCTTCCATAGGAATAGATGCGCCTCCCATTCCAATTGACATGGTAGTGAATCGAACTTGAAACATAAGTAAGAGAGAATATCTCGACCTATGATCATGTCATAAGCCCCCAAACTCTTGGTGACGTGAAGTCCCACTCGATATTTCTATCTTCGTGGAATTCAGAATTCATGAATGACCTTTCACTTCTGCTGGTGTTTTAATTCTCCTGCAGGGTAGTCCACATCGTTTAGACGCCCCCAAGATCCTTCATGTGTAATTTCTTAGCATGATTTTGAGCAATCAAGGTTCCAGTTGCTCTGTATCAGTAAGCAACGGAGTGATAACGGGTTTTGTTTCCTTTTTCTCGCTTGTTAAATCTAACATAGCGGATTGGTTTAGTCTCTTGTCTTGCTGCGTTTACGAGGTGGTTGGCACGGACGAGGTTAACGATGCTAAATAGATCATCAGATTCTAGTTGAGCAGCTGCTAGGCAATCATCTAATTTTGCCGTAGAGTTAATCAGTTGCAAACAATACTTGTTTACTAGTTAGTGAGATACTATCTTCATCACTTTGGCATGAGAAATCGTAACATGATTCCGTTGAGTCATCATCCTGCCCTAATCCTCAGATAGGATTTCTTCCATCCAAGCTGATTGAAATTGATTAGAGATTTGTCCTCATGTGTCAGAAGTTTCTGATTTGCGTGGCAACATGGTGCGAAAGTTTGCATGTGGCCGAGATCGTCGATCTTCTGCTTCTTCGTCATTGTCGTCGTGAGGAAGAATGGGTTTGTTGCGCAACTGTTTCTCGAATGTGCGGAACGCATGCTTTCTTTGAGCAATCTTCATGCGTGAAGGAATAGGCTGAGGGTAGCTGAAAGCTATGTGTTTGTTAACAAAATTGCACTACGCTAAAAGCTAGTGTAAAGATCTTGAGGTGTTTGAGTTTGAGAGAATGAAAGTTTGAGAGAGATTAGAAAGCTATGAAAAACTAATCGACGAGAGAGATAATCATCAAAGGATCGTAGATCTGGCTTCCCGCGGAGACTATAAAGTGTGATAGAGTAGTCTCTGTTGTGTTAGTAATCCTCCGTCTCTCCACGCGATCTCTTAACTGAACGCATGGAAGGTTTGTCTAGCCTGGATCTAGTAGCGTGGAAGTATACCACGCTGGCTAAATATATAGAGCGATGTGTTTATTCATCAACCTAGTATGACTAGCGCGGTCATTGAGAAACCTGTCTCAAATACTATTCACGAGAGACTTGGTCATGAGTCGAACTCAACCCTATCTAGGATCGAGTCGGAAATAAGGCTAAGAGCCGTGATATGCACCCATTTCTAAAAGATTACCATTACCCTGATCAGGTGTTGCCATCCTTTGAGGCTGAACAGCAATCCTAAAAAGCATACAAAAATACATATTTAGCAGCAGTAATAGCCATAGTTTCAATAGCCAACAGCCACAAGTCCACACTGACCTGCAAATATTTCCATTGAGTCTCGTCAGCTCCGCGCCAAGCAAGGTCTCCAACAACCTCCTCAAAGCAGCAGCCGAACTGTCTCGGGTCCTACCTTCTTGCGCTATGAGCTGATGGAGCTGGTTGTGCTGCGCAATTATCCTTGTCAGAATCTCCTCGTTCGTTCGTACTTGCTGTTGCGTTTGCTAGCCGTCACCCATGCCGGAGATGATTGCAACTGACGAGTGCTTGCCGGCGTCGTTCCGTGTGCACCACCGGTCGTTCCCTTAGTGCCACCAGCCGTGCCACGCCACCTCCCGTATCCATCGGCCGATTTCGTTGATGTGGAGCTTGGTGTTTGTGCGTCCAAAATAGAGAGAGGCACTTTCACCACAGGGTTGACGCCAACAGGAACATCAGGCCTTGATGCGCTCGTACGCATCTTGGATCCTAACACGAACGGGAGGCTCCATCCTCTCCTCCAAGATTCGTCAAGAGCAGCCACAAAAGAGGCAGAGCAAGTGCAGGGAAATGTCGTTGACACCGTCGTAAAAGGCATTTGTCCTTGGCACCACATGCTGAATCAACCAGTCGGTAGTCACTCTCTTGGGCATCCGGGTGTAGCTTGTAGGCAATAGGAGACCCCATGCAAAGCTTGTCGGCAACACGAGCGTCGAACCAGGGCTGTTCAGGCGAAATTGTAGGCATAACAACCGCGTCCAGACAAGCGAGAGCTTCCAGCGACCTCGAATGTCAACTTCGTACAGCAGTAGCACCCATCCCTCTTGCCAGAGTTGCAGCAAACTTCCGAATGCTGTGATCTCCAAAGAACACCGCAATGAGGAACGCCACAGCCAGAAATGGAGCCGACAAAAAGACAGCTTGAGAATGTTGCGGTAGCTGCGTTGCAGTGCTTTGGAGCCAACTTGGGATCGCTTTCGGGAGTAAAGAGGAATGATCTTCCCGACCAGCGGCCCCATACCCGTAGTTGAAGACGCCTCCATGTAATTCGCCATCCGAGCATGCACAAAAGTCGTATCCATCGACCAAGAATGATTTGGTCGGGGATTGTCGTTCTTCCGAAATATACTTGGACCAATGCACCTTTCAACTGAGCGCAAAAGGGAAGCTGGATGCGGCTTGTAGTGGAATACTTCAACTTGGAATGTCGTCCGTCTGGTGAGAGATGGACTTGCTGCTTCAACCTGCAGGCTGTACGGATGGTCGATTCAAAGCTCCCTTTGCCGTAGAGTTATGGACCACCTTGCGATATCTGTTTCCGTCAAATCCTGGTGGCACAGGACTTCTTGCGCGGTGTTGAGTCTCCGCTTTCTTGACTTCCTTGACCACTTCGTTCACAGGACGGACTTGGTTGGATTGCCGGAGAGTTCCATTCCATGTGGCACCTTTGATGGGCATGTAGAAGGAAATAGCCTTCTTGTCTTGCTCAAAGTAGAGGAGCGGCAAGTTGGATTCTGCTCGAGGTCTTTGAGTCAACTCGTCGTACCATACGCACGCCATTTCAATAGTCGGCAACGTGGTGTTGTTGGATGCCGGCCAAAGCACTAGGGTGGAAGCGAGCCGCCTTGGTGATGTCCTCTTGTGCAGCCAGCCATGAATTTGACGAAGAGAGATGGTAATCCCGGTTGTACTTGGCTGTTCCGTGGGTGCTTCAGGCAAATCCGGCACGTCTTCCCACCCAAAGGCTCCATCATTGGCATTGTTGGCCATGGTGGACCAATTGTTTGGTCAACTAAGCAATTGTTGGTTTGGTTGAGCTGCTGGAATTTTGGCAGAGTCCTTTATAGAGTTGAAGGAATGAAAATAATGAGCTAGAAGTGAGGAAATGAAGAACTGAAAGCGGCTTGTACGGAGCCAGAGGATCGGATCGATCGCACGGGATTTGCCCGTTGTTGCCTCTTTGTTGAGTATACTCGAACGTAACGATCGATCGTACGGGGCTTGAGTATACCCTACTGCAGCGATTGGATCTTTGAACGATTGGATCTTGCTTGAGTATACGCAACCTGCAACGGTTGGATCGGAACGATTGGATCTCATTGGAATGTACGGTATGTTTGGTGTTACTTAAGCGATTATTGGAATCCTCTCAGTATGTGCATCCTCCTCTATTTATCCAGGCACGAGCCTTATGTCTAAATCCTCTCAGTTTATTTAATAGTGAGAGTCTTATTGAGAGGATCTTTGTTTCAATGACTGCCGATACCATACCTTTTCTACGTAGCATACTGTCCTTGATCCTGAGGGTATGTAGAGTTACCTAGGAGCAGAGGGAAGCACATACTGCTGCTGTGCAACTACTGTTGCAGAAATGTAGTACCGGTACCGTAGCTATGCATGCAAACGACGTCGTGGTCTCTTCTTTCAGCGTGTCCTGCAATTCTTTTGTATGCATAGCTCTTGATGTTGTAGGTACATGTGTACGGGACCGTAGTTTGTTTGGGTGGTACTGGTACGTACCGGTACCACCGGTACTGTACAAAGGATGAATGCCTCGCACAGTTCAGAAAGACGGTTGTGTGAGCCCAAAAAGACAAGGTTTCTATGGTTGTTATATAACGGAAGCCAGCGAGCCGGGCTCTAAAAAAGCAAAGAAGAGTGGAGATGCTCACAAACTGCCGAATCGCCACAACTATGCTTCGCGATGCTGGCTCTAGTGGAGTGATGCACGTCATCGAAGGAAGCCGCCATCAAAGAGTCCTTGTTTGACTCTGTGGCCAAAGTAATGCTGAGTGGGACAGTCAATCCTTCAATCTGAGCGAGCATATCATCAGTCAGCAAAAGATGATAGATGCGTAGAAGATAGATTGATAGAATGAAGAAATCAAAATCCCGATTGCTGAGACGAAGCAACAAGTATTCTGACAATGGCATTAGCAAATCCATCTTTCCGGGGATACTTCTACTGACAACCTGCATCATGCTTATGATCCATCTGTTTTCAGAACAGCGTTCCATGGCGGGATGGATGAAGGGACTTCAAAGTGCCGATATATCGGCAATTGTGTCGTCCTGGGCGACAGCCACAACATCCAAGAAACAAGATGAGGTTGCCCAGAGTGACTCATCACACCCCTCATCATCCTTTTTGTTCTCATCGCTACCGCAAAAGTTCAGTCTGTTACAACTCTCCAGAGAAAGTGCTCAGAATCATCAACAGCATCACAATTGTACATGGCCCTTTGTCCTCATCGATGATCGCATCCTGCTCCAACAGGATCAAGACAATGCCAACAAGGAAAAAACAGAGCAATTCGATGCTTGGTCCTACCAACACAACAAACGCAAAATTCCACGCATTCTCCATCTGGCATGGATCCACGATGATCCACACCATGGACCCAACAAGGGTCGTTGTTTGCATCACCTTCAAGCGGTTTCCATTCAACGATGGAAGAAATTATTTCCCAATTACAGCATTTTCTACCATGATGACTATTCCGTCGCCAAAATGATGCAACAAGAGTTCTGGCCTGAGTTCCCTGAATTGGCCAAAGTTCTACAGTGTGTCAAAATGCTCAATGCCATGCTCATTGATATCTGGAGACAATTGGTCCTCTACCGATTTGGTGAGTACATCATTAACAAGTACCTATGTGTACCCCCCTTGCCAACACCATCATTTCCTCATGCGTGCACTTCGTTTCATTTCATTCATCCCGTTCTTTTTCAACCAATCAAATCCATCCACCCAAAAAGGCGGATTATACGTAGACCTGGATGAAATTCCAACCGAACAATTCACCGAAGATCTCATCCCACAGCATGTCGATTTCTTCTCCTTTAGTGATGACTTTAACCGGCCTTCCCAATGGTGCTTTGCTACATCGCCAGGACATCCGGCCACCTACCACTCCATGCTGACAATTTTCCAACGAATCTTGGAAATGCCTGAAATCTCAAGACCCAAATTGGTCACAATGACGGGTCCCGAGGCACTCAAATATGGATACTCATATGCCTTTTTAGGGCAGGACGATCGATACAACGAGGGGATGCATTATGGGATTTTCTATGCCACGGGAATTAAATACACACGAAAGAAGGCCGCGGTATGTCTCGTCAACAATCGGAACGATCCCTTTCCGTACAATGCCACACACAATTGGACGGTTGCCAAACAGTACGAGGCCGACTTGGGAGCGGTCCACTGGACCAAAGCCGGAAGTCACTTGGTGGATCAAGGGCGAGGGTCCTGTCAACAACATCTCTACGAGTTTGAGCGACGATCCAGTCGCTTTCCAGGCAGAGAATGGATCCAACAAGAACAACAATGACAAAGGTAACATACCGGTACATACATACATGCCATGTCAAGATAGAGCTACAGTTGGTGCGCAATGTCAGCATTCCTTTAGCAGTTAGTTATTGCCTCCAGGCCGCAAATGCACAAAGATGTTACTGTACTGATACGGTACTACATTTCTGCAACAGTAGTTGCACAGCAGCAGTATGTGCTTCCCTCTGCTCCTAGGTAACTCTACATACCCTCAGGATCAAGGACAGTATGCTACGTAGAAAAGGTATGGTATCGGCAGTCATTGAAACAAAGATCCTCTCAATAAGACTCTCACTATTAAATAAACTGAGAGGATTTAGACATAAGGCTCGTGCCTGGATAAATAGAGGAGGATGCACATACTGAGAGGATTCCAATAATCGCTTAAGTAACACCAAACATACGTACCATTCCAATGAGATCCAATCGTTCCGATCCAACCGTTGCAGGTTGCGTATACTCAAGCAAGATCCAATCGTTCAAAGATCCAATCGCTGCAGTAGGGTATACTCAAGCCCCGTACGATCGATCGTTACGTTCGAGTATACTCAACAAAGAGGCAACAACGGGCAAATCCCGTGCGATCGATCGATCCTCTGGCTCCGTACAAGCCGCTTTCAGTTCTTCATTTCCTCACTTCTAGCTCATTATTTTCATTCCTTCAACTCTATAAGGAACTCTGCCAAAATTCCAGCAGCTCAACCAACCAACCAACAATTGCTTAGTTGACCAAACAATTAGTCCACCATGGCCAACAATGCCAATGATGGAGCCTTTGGGTTGGAAGACGTGCCGGATTTGCCTGAAGCACCCACGGAACAGCCCAAGTAAAACCGGGATTACCATCGTCTCTTCGTCAAATTCATGAGCTGGCTGCACAAGAGGACATACACCAAGGCGGCTCGCTTCCAACCTAGTGCTTTGGCCGGCATCCAACCACACCACGTTGCCGACTACTTGAAATGGCGTGCGTATGGTACGACGGACGTTGACTTCAAAGACCTCGAGCAGAATCCAACTTGCCGCTCCTCTACTCTTGAGCAAGACAAGAAGGCTATTTCCTTCTACATGCCCATCAAAGGTGCCACATGGAATGGAACCTCCGGCAATCCAACCAAGTCCGATCCTGTGAACGAAGTGGTCAAGGAAGTCAAGAAAGCGGAGACTCAACACCGCGGCAAGAAGTCCTGTGCCACCAGGGATTTGACGGAAACTGAGTATCGCAAGGTGGTCCATGAACTCTACGGCAAGGGAGCTTTGAATCGACCATCCGTACAGCCTGCATGTTGAAGCAGCAAGTCATCTCATCACCAGAACGGACGACATCTCCAAGTTGAAGTATTCCGACTACAAGCCGCATCCAGACTTCCCTTTTGCGCTCAGTTGCAAGGTGCATTGGTCCAAGAATATTTCGGAAGAACGACAATGCCCGACCAATCATTCTTGGGTCGATGGATACCGACTTTTGTGCATGCTCGGATTGGCAATTACATGGAGGCGTCTTCAACTACGGGTATGGCGCCGCTGGTCGGGAAGATGCTTCCTCTTTACTCCCGAAAGCGATCCCAAGTTGGCTCCCAAGCACTGCAACGCAGCCTACCGCAACATTCTCAAGGCTGTCTTTTTGTCGGCTCCATTTCTGGCTGTGGCGCTCATTGCTGGTGTTCTTGGGAGTCACAGCATTCGAAGTTTGCTGCAACTCTGGCAAGAGGGATGGGTGCTACTGCTGACGAAGTTGACATGCAGGGGATTACCACAGGATTTGCCATTGCCCACAATGACCCCCAAAAGGGCAAGATCCGACTGACACTCAAGATACCGTACTGTAGTGGGACGGTAGACAAGTCTAGAATTATATTATGGACTCAGTAGCTCTACTAGCTAGCTACAGTAGCACTCTGAGTAGGTCATACCGCTACTTGCACAAGCAATTCAGCAAAAAGTGACTGAAAGTAAGAAGTACGCTCACTCACAAACTGCCAAATCGTCAGTAGTTATTTTAGGTGCCTTGATTGCTTGTCGTATCAGTGCCGTACGGTACGTCTATCCGCAATCCTCTTTTTCCTTTCAACTAAGGGCTTCCGTTTAGAGAGCGTCGTTGCGACTACGAGAATGGCCCAGCCACAAATTTGTTGCTTCCGACGCAATCACTGGCAACAGGATTGAAATCGTATGCTACATGTCTTGGAAAGAGGCACCCAGACGACATACGGTATGCTTCTCTTGCTGATGGCTTCTGATGTGATGCACCTCCGCCTTGACCTGGTTGGAAGGATCACGTTATTGGTTTCAGCGGCCAGCACCAACACCAAAATGTTTCATGGAACGAACCAGTTGGCTCCGACCGAGGGATCCGGATGGCAACCTTCGTTGGCAAGACCATTCGTACCGTTATGCTGTACATGGTTAGTTTTCAAACTGAATAGCGTGCACACTGCACCTACCAAAAATAAATAAATCAAAGTCATTAACGGATTCAGACAAGCTGTGCAACTGCACCTACAGTAGGTAAGTGACATTGGATAAGAGCGAGAGACGAGATGGGGAGTGGGATTTTCTCTCCACCCCAACAGCCAACAGCTGCTGTGCTGCCTCGTCCCGGTGGCAACAGCTTGTGGCAGCCTAGCTAGTAAAGATGATGCATGGAACCTGGAGTCCCCTTTCTCTTTGTCCCGGTGGCAACCGCTGTGGCAGCCTAGCTAGCTAGAGAAAGATGATGCAGGGAACCTCGAGTCCCTTTCTCTTTCTTGTCCCGGTGGCAACAGCTTGTGGCAGCCTAGCTAATAACTAGTCTAGCTAGCTAGTAAAGATGATGCCTGGAACAGCTCCTAGCTAGCCTGGAACCTGGAGCCCCTTTCCTTTATCTCTATTAATACCACCAAGGATCCGTTGCATGGTGGTTGATGCTTACGGTATGGCAATCCCACAACCGAAGAAAGAGCTTTCAACGATGGTCTATAAGCGCGACTACCGGTAGCCGGAAGCCGGAAGGAGCTCCGGAAGGTTGGTGTACTGTGTACTACTGTGTGAGGTGATCACTGGTTCTTGTCCTTAGACGGGACAGAATGACAGAATTCAAAAAGCAAACTCACTGTGAGGATGCTGTACTGGTACCTGGTACTGTACCTGTATGGTACCGGTACACCATACCGGTGAAGCTGGGGATGGAAACTGCAATCATATCATCCTCTTAAATCCAGCTAGAAAGTGCCGTAGGTGCCATTTAAGTCATGGAACAAGAAAGTACTCTGGAGTATTCGGAACATGTTTCCCGGTAGCCTTTGTTCCAGAAAAGATTTATGATATGTGCCCCGGAATTCAAATTTCCCCCAAGCCGTTCTCAGTACTGGGTCCACGCGCTCAGTTTGCACCAAAGTCGTTGATAAAAGTTAAAAAATTGGTTCAGCGATCGCTCGATCGCTCCACGCTCCAACGGTGCTTCAATTTTCGATGTCATTTTTTGACATCTTTTGCACCATGGTGACGGATTGAGAAGTTTTGGCGCAAACATTCATCATACATCCCCAACAAGCTATCTATCACCAGTATTGTATTGGTCTGCGTTGACTATTTCTCTGTCGACACTGATATACTATAGTTGTAATAGATGCGCAGATAGCTAGTTACTGAATCAGCAAGGCGATAGGAGACAAGATAATCTAATCAAAATGAAATTCCATTGTCGTAGCTTCCTGATAACAGCACTGGTCTTCCTCGCCCCCTCTCTTGAGCTATCCCATGGCCAAAGATTACCATTATCCGAGCACCAGCATTATCAACTGGATAACCACTTCAGCATGACACGGCTGATAAGGCAACCGAGTCCGCTGACATTGCGTGTCACGGGGTATCACCACACTTTGGTAGCCTCTGTTCCGAGAAACTCCACAGCTACAAAACTTAACACCCAAAGACAACCCTCTTCCAGAACGAGTGATCCGACTGGATCCGTTCCCAATGACAACCATGTAAGGCGGCGGAGAAAAGAGCAAGCAGTGTTTCCAACCTCCATGGGTCCATTGAAGACATTCTATTACTTTATTCAAGCACTGGGTAGATCCGATAACTCGGGATGCAAGCATCCCCAACCGTCATTTATTGCGACCTGCCCTGTAGGTGCCTTTATTGTCTCTCAATCCTCCCGCAGTGAATGGAACTCACGGCTGGATTGTATGCAGCTCTCGGACACGCAAATACAATGCACGCCCAAAGAAATCGACCCACGCTATGACGGTCAAGATATTGACTTGGACGATCAAAATGGTGTCACCTTGGCGTGTTATGGTCCCATGACGATCAGCGACACTGGAAATAGTGGCGATGAAGACCACAAGCAGCAGCAGCAAGGCCCACGACAACCTGCAAGTATCCGTGCAGGTCATCGAAGGGACGTATGAATGCGACAAGGCATTAGAGGCTCGGACCATGCCCAATCCCACGGTCGTGTCGGGTGGAAATATCTATCAGACTGTAGCGATTCAAAAGCAATGTTCCAGCTCGGAACAAGATGGCGAAGCTTGGGTGTTTGTCAAACCAACCTGTGGCATCGCGGGGGGCATTGCGCGAGATAATATTGTAACAGCCGAAGACATGCTGCAAGAGACTGTTGTACCGATTCAGTATGGCAGTAGCAGCAATGGCAGTAGCTATGATTACAACAACACTCAAGATCGGAGCGATCGGATTCCCACCATTACGATTGCTCATTGCGAAATTGAAGATGAGTGTCAGGTGGAGTATGTATGTGCCAATTTTACATGCAGTGGTTTGACGTCCTGTGATGTGGATATCCCTGACTTTGTTATCAATAGCACATCTGACAGCACTACCACGTACATGCCGGGTGAAGAATGCCTGCCACGAGACTTTTCCATGGAGCTAGACAATGGAGAGGTCTGCGAGTTCAATCTCATGTGCACCAGCGATATTTGCATCGAAGGAACGTGTCGTGCCGAGAGATTGAATGATTTCCAAGTGTGCGATGAGG